ATCATGACAAATGATCTACATTCACTCTACCCTTAAAAAAAAAAAGGGTCCATATTATTTCACCGACAATCACTTCACCGACAGCTCATTTAGCCGACATCACGCCAGGTGAATTTTAGTAAAAATACATACCTGTAACTTATCAAATGCTTAACCCTAACCCTATGTGATGTCGGCTAAATGAGCATTCGGTGAAGTGACTGTCGATGAATTGATGGAATCGAAATTGCCGAAATTTAAAATAAAATAAAGTGTACGTTATTTTAGGATACGCGTGGATGCTATTTCAAAACTAAATATACTATTTTTTGTGGCAAGATTTTCGAAATAACGCCCATTTCCATTATTTCAATAGTTTCTTATAAAAAGGGAAACAATTTTGAAGCCAGTTCTTTAATAATCAAAATAAAGAAATAATGAATCAAAATTTTATTTTCGTATTTACTTTATTAGCTGCACTTCTCACCGTCAATGCTATTCCATTCCAGAAAAGAGAGTTTGAATTTAGAAGCTGTATTCATGGTTATGTTTTCAAAGTTGAAATGAATCCAAACCCTATCGTTCTTGGAAAAGACGTAACTTTTGATATTTTTGCCACTGTAACTGATGATGTCGGGAATAATGGATATGTCTTAGTGAATTTTAAGGACGCACATGACAATCTTTTACTATTTGAACCATTTCTTCTTTCTTCAGGCATTAAAGCTACGAAACAATTGATGGTTCATATTCATTGCCAGTACGACTCTCAAGTTTACCAGCAAGTATAGAAATTAAAATTTTTTCGCATGCAAATGGTGGTTCAACTAAAGAAGTTGCCAGTGCACAAAGTTTTTAAGGCAAAGATCTCATTTTGCTATTTAATTTTGGCTTCTCTTTTGCACATATATTTAATTACGCTGTTACTTTCATTTCAATTTAATTCTTTTTGTTTATTTTTTGTAATCAAATATTATCAAAAGATAAAGTTTATAACAAAATTATATATGTAGATTTTAGATACAGTCAACCCCTCTATAGTCACCTCCTCTATAGTCACAAAATATAATTACAAATTTATTTTTGCCAATTATTTATTAATTATGTAGAAAATACAGTCAACCCCTCTATAGTCACCGCCTCTATAGTCACAAAATTAATATAATTAAAATTTATTTTTACCAATTATTTATTAAATATATAGACCCTATAAAAATTTTTTAAAATTGTATTCAGACTTTACTCAGATTATTTTTTTAAGAGATGAGCATTTTCCGTAATAAAAATCTATACAAAACATTTAAAATATTCAGAAAAATTTAAAGGTTTTGTATAGATTTCTGTTACG